CACTTTCACGACAGGCCCTAGGAACTTGAGGCAGACAGATGGTCTTTTAGCAAGAGGGTAATGAGAGTAAAGCTTCCTAAGCTGAGGTTTTGAGAGGTAAATTAAGGGCCTTTGAAAGTTGAAGTTTTAAAAGTTTACCTTTTATTTTTTTTCTTTCATGGTGGGAGAAGCATGAATATGTTTGGTAGGAGGAAGAAGTCAGTGGCAAAATAAAGCAAAAGAACAAGAGAGCTAAAAGATAAGAATACGATGTGGAAATTCTAGTAGGTGTAGGAATGACTTGCTGAGGTGGGGAGAAAAGCCAGAAAATGATGAGAGTATTAGATGAGTCATCCGTGTGAGCCTCAGGATGATGGCATGCACAGCACGGAAGAAGTGGCAGTCTGGGTGCCAGAGTCCACGTGGGAAGACTGTCGTGATCCTAACAGAGCAGTGAGGAGTTCTGCTTTCTCTAGACTTAAAAAACCTGGAAAAAGCAGATGGCAGTTGGGGCTAGCAGTTGGAGAGAATGTGTTAGGGAAAAATTTGAGAACACAGGAGAGCATATTTTAAAGAGAACAGTACTTAAGGCTTATAAATCACAATTAAAGAGTTGGGGTAAAAGAAAGTGTGGTTCTAAGGAGGAAGTCCAGAGCTTTGAGGTGATGAAATTATGCAAGAAGATGGACCACAGAGGTTTTAATTTGCCAGTAGAGAAACGACGTTTCCGCTGAACTCTGGTTGGAAGGTTTTCTACAGCCAGAGCAAGCAGAGCATCCAGGGTTGTAGACACTGTGACAATAGCAGCTTGAAACCAGTTGTTATTGCTAGTAATAGACTTCAACAACTTTGAATGCGTATTTACGGAATTTTAAAATCTTGCCTGTATAGAGACAGGGTAAATTAAGATACAAAATAAAGAGGGGAGGTTCTGCTTTATTTGTTGGTTCAAAAAAAGTAAAATGTTTACTAAAACAACAAATAATGAAACGTAAGAACCTAGTGTCTTGGAAGGCATGAATGGATGCAGCTCCATAGATATTGCTGTGATACAGTACATATGAGTAGAGAAATCTAAATATGTGTTACAGATGCAGGGTATTCCCAGGCTTTCTAGGAAAAGGTATAAGAAGAATTGAATAATATATGCTATGTATTCATCAGTTTATTTTAGAGTTTTATTCAGAACATATATATTAAGTACCAGACATGTGTAAGATATTATGTAAGACATTTTTTATATACTGTGATCATTAATTTTTTTTGATCACTAAATACTGATGAGGATGTGGAGCAACTGGAATTCTCATTCATTCTTGATAGGAATGCGAAATGGTACAGCCAGTTTGGAAGACAGCTTGACAGTTTCTTACAAACTAAGCATATTCTTTCCCTTCCAGTGGTCACACTTCTTTGTTGTTTATTTGAATGAGCAAGAACTTACATTCATGGAAAAACTGCACACAAGTGTTTATAGCAGCCTTTTTCATAATTTCCAAAATGTGGAAGCTACAAAGATGTCTTTCAGCAGGTGAATGGATAAAGAAATGGTGGTACATTGAAACAATGGATTATTCAATATTAGAAATGAGTTATGCAGCCATGAAAAGACATGGTTGGAAACATGAAGACATGGCATAGAAACTTAAATGTATATTGGGATCAGCAGTTAGCATATTGGCTATGTCGCTGGAGTCCCATGTAGTTGACCATGGTTCAAGTCCCGGACCCGGTGGCTTAAACACGCCCAGCGCATGTGCAAGCGTGCCCAGATCCCAAAAAAAAACCTCTCTCTATAAAAAAAAAAAAAAAAAAATATATATATATATATATATATATAAAAGTAAGTGAAAAAAAATCTGAAAAGGTTACATAATATATGATTCCAACTCTGTGACATTCTGCAAAAAGCAAAACTGAAAGGCTGGAGGACATAAAAGCTTTGAAAATTGTTATGGACACCAGGGACAAACCAGAAGGAGAGTGGGGAGAGGAGAAGAATGCAGGAAGGGAAATTTGGGGAAAACAAATAGGTAAGATGTTTGTGGGACACAGATATGGTTTATTATTTGTTGATGAAGATGTGTATATTATTCTCAACTGGGCTGGTCTGAGGTGTCTATCATGCTGGGTAAAGTCTCTTTACAATTTAAATGATATATAGTAATTGTATAAATAATAATAAAGTTTTCAAAAGAAAAACCAAAGCAAAACCACAGACTGTAAAAATATAAATTGTTGCCAGGAGTTGGGTGGACAGAGAGGGAAGAATAGGTAGAATGCAGAGGAGTTTTTGGCCTGTGAAACTATTCTGTCTGATAGTGCCAGTGGTGGATCCATGTCATTGTATGTATGTTGTCACTGTGCTTCATTGGTGATGACCAAACGCAACTCAGCCGTGTTCAAGAAAGTGTAAATGATCATTTATTTTCTCGTGTTAAATTTATCATTTGGAGTTTGCACATCTTCCAGCCAGACCCTCCCTTGAACTCTTATGGTCATAATCACTGCATTCCTCGAATGTGCTCTCTCAGAGTTGATCATACCACCGGTGTCCACACCCTGCCTCACTACTCTTTTTGGCAAGGGTCAAGGCCCTTTTTATTATGGCTAGCACAGGCTATCCTGTCCAAGACTTATTTTCCATTTTTTTTCCCACTTTTCCTCATAACTGAACTGTTCAATGAGGATTAGAAACAACCACCAGAAATTTTTGGTTGCCCTCCATTTGGTAGATGGTGTATATTCCTTCCTGGAAACTGATGTTGTTAGAACATCACTTAAGTTGCTTTAACTTCCTACGAAAGTGTCGGACTGAGATATTAAGTAACATTAGTGGACATGTGGGACTACAGCAGAGAACAGGGCGACCAGACTATGAAATGTCTTTTTTAGAGGTTCCTTGATGCTGGTGAAGACAACCCTGCCTTGGACATCTTCCAGCAGGTACTGTTAGCATCAGCTGGTCATGTGGAAAGCGCCCTAGAATCGTACTGACTGTGACACGGAATGAATTCGTCATCCATTTTATAATATGGATAACTGTTGGCATAGGATATAAAGGAGCAATGAGAGTTTAGATTCCAATATATTCGTTAACTATTGACTTCTTACTGCCGCACAACCCCAGGCTAAGGTACAGGGATGGAGGAGGACGACTGTCTTAGTCTGAGCTGCTATAACAGCATACTATGACTGTCTAGCTTACGAACAAAAGAAACTTACTTCTCACTGTTTTGAGGCCTGGGAAGTCCAAGATCAAGGTGCTGGCAGAGTTGGTGTCTGGTGAGGTCTTCTTTCTGAAAGATTGGCTTCTCACTGTAACTTCACATGGGGGAAAGGGGAGAATTCAGATCTCTTCAGCTACTTATCAGGGCACTAACTCATTCATGAGGACTCCACCTTCCTGACCTAATCACCTCCCAAAGGCCTCACCTCTCTAGATCACATTGGGGGTTGGTTTCAACAGTTGAATTTTGGGGAGACAGAAACATTCAGATCATTAGTTATGACCAGGAAAGGCTCACTATTTGAGTTGAAAGTTACAGACATCAAGAACTGAAAAAAGACACCTATGTGTCATAACAGAAGTACAAACAAGCATTGGAAAACTGGGAGTAAAGAAATTTACAGAGCTGGGGCCAGCAGGTGAAGCAGTGGCTGAGGCAGCTGGATTCCCACATGGTCAACTGTGGTTTGAGTCTTAGACCCCGTGGCTTGAAAATCACATTGGGTGCAAGTGTGTGTGTGCCCAAAATCCCAGAGGAGAAAGGATTGTGGCAGGGTCATCTCCCCTCAGGGGTGATTTATCACTTTTCCTCTCTCTGTCTCTCTCCTCTTGAGCAAGTGCATGCACCCCATGGCCAAAGCTTAAAAAAAGAAAAAGAAAAGAAATTGACAGGGAACGTGGAAAGGCCTTTTCAGAGGAAAATGACTGCGGTCAGGCCATGTTAGATAGGTAGTATTTCAGCTGCCAGAGGCAACATGAGCAAAGATAGTGAAATGTAGACTAGATTGACAGATGTGCCTACATGCTGGGGCATTCAGGCATTCTTTTATTATATTTGTCGAGCATCTCTTTCCTAGGTACTGAGCTATAGGTAAAGATCAAAGAATTGATAAGGATTAGATGAGATAATGTTTGTAAAATATTCCAATTAGGACTCTCATGTCTAGTAAAGGACACAAGTAAATAACTCATTGTGGTAATAAATGCTAGGAAGGCACAGGAAAGTGTGTGGTGTGGCACTCTCCGCTGAGAGCGTTGTGCATGGCTTCATCAAAGAGGTATTTGAACAGGCTGTATGCATGGCTTCATCAAAGAGGTATTTGAACAGGCTGATGGGGAAGTGTGAATGTGTAAGTCACAGGGAAGCTGAGAAAAATTCTTAAGATTTGAAAATGATGGAACCTCTCTAGTCTGTGTGGGTGAGGGTGATGGGGGTGTAGTAAGCAAGAAAAGAATAACCATAAATGTTTGTAGATAAAGACACACAAAAACATGGGAAGCTGAGAAAAATTCTTAAGATTTGAAAATGATGGAACCTCTCTAGTCTGTGTGGGTGAGGGTGATGGGGGTGTAGTAAGCAAGAAGAATAACCATTAAATGTTTGTAGATCTTTAAAGACACACACAAAAAAACATGTGTCACCCCAACTCACTTTTGCCTGATTTTAAATGTATCTTTTCCACTGAGAAAAGGCATAGAGACCTTCTGTGTTCAGTTCTACGTCAAGTCAGATGTTAAACAACTTTGCACGAAAGCTTCTGCAGCAGCCGTTCTCTGTGTTTTCTTCTTTCCAGAGGACGTTGAGAGTCAGCAGAGATTAAGAGGCAGAGAAAAACTCTTCAAAAACCCAGTTGCCTTTCCCGTCCTCACATGGGATGTGTCACATAGTGGTAGACATTTAACTAGACATGACTGGGTCTTTTAAAAGTAAGAGCCTTACTGGTATTGATGGACATGTTTTTGTCATGAGCTCAGTGCTGTAAAGTGTGTGTCTTTCTGTATCTTCTTCCAGACTGAGCACATGCCTTTGCAGACTCAGTTCAAAGAGAGAGAAGTTGGCAGTCTTCAGCACTCTGTAAGTAACATGATTACGTTGTGGGCATCAGTCCAGATGGCATTGGTAGACACCATGCTTATTAAAGTATCGTTTGCTTTCCATAAGAGTTCATTTTATTCATATCTCCCCTATTTGAATGCCTGTATTATGATTTGGTAAAGTCTGTGAACTCGCTTACTCTTAGAAATAATCTAAGATTGACTTCTCAGTAACATTAGAATAATAGAATTTATGAAACTCATAACTAAGTAGAGGGTCTATTCCAGAGACCACAAAGCATCATGGGGGACTCATTTTATAGTGTCAGCTGTGGCCCAAGATAAAGCCAGTAAGTAAAGTCAAGACAAGAAGATACTCTTTTTTTGAGGGGGAGAGGTTTTTGCTATAGGATGCGTACGCTCGCCAGACAGAGACAGAGAGACAGAAAGCGAGAAATCACCCCCCAGGGGGGATGGCCACGCCGCAATCCCTTCACCTCCCTTCTCCTCTCAGGATCTTGAGCACGCACACACACGTGCCTGGCACGAGTTTAACCCGCTGGGTCCGGGACTTGAACCGCGGTCGACTATGTGGGAGTCCAGCGACAGCCATTACGCTAACTGCTGGTCCCAAGACAAGAAAGTACTCTTGGCAGTGTTTCTTATTCCCAGTTTTGTCTGGTGTCTGATCGAATATCAGTTCATTTTGCTATGTCCTTCCCATAATTCCCCAGTACTGAATCTTGAGGATTCTTTTTGTTTTGTTGTTTATTTGATTTAAATGTCTCTATATTTATCTGTTTCATATATTCAGTCCAAACTTGCCATCTTTGAGAGACTGCTAAATTTCACAGCAATGTTCTTCAGCTTACCTTAGCCAAATTTCAAAACCTAAAACTGATCAGAATTTCCATTAGTCATAATTTTGTATTTAGGAGCTGCCACTATTATTCAGGTATTGCAAATAGCAAGTGACTGCAACATGACTGTTGAACTTTGCTTGGCCTTCCACTATCTCATGGGGTAATGAATCAAGGACATAGACCAAATAATTTTTTTTTCTTGCCTGTTTTTACCAATGTGCTAGAAACAAGCAAACATCTATTCTACTAATGTAAACAATGTTTGAATTTTTAGAATGGCCTAAATAGCAGGAGGTTTGACTATGAAGATGAGAATCCAGTGGAGGAAGATGGGATTCAGCAGATGTACCCCCTTTACAATCAGATGTGTTACCCAGACCGGAGCCCTGGCAAACATCAAAACCACGACCCTGCAAGTGTCTACATCAACCCACAAGAACATTATGTGTGATTTTTCTCTTTTTCCAATGGATATTCTAACAAATGTTTATTGTTCAATTGGGGAGAGACACTGAGGCCAATAGTATTTTATTCTCTCTCATATAAAACAATCCCAATCTAAGTGATTGGAAATCTTGAATGACGTGGAGCCAGAAGTGAATTTCTTTCCTCCGGGTGGTTTCTTAACCACCAGCTGTGTTTGTGAACTTGGATATTGCTTCGTGTGTCTCTAAGACGATGGTGTTTAACTACTCACATTTGGCCCATGATGGCATGTTCTTTCAAAAGCACAACATCTGCCTACAGTGACTACAGTGGTTCTCCAGAAAGACAGATGCAGCTATAGTATTGACCTTGTTAGGTCTCAGACAGGCCAGCCTTTGAATTCATCTGTAATTCAAACAGGCAAAAAATGTATTCAGAATCCATTTCACTAATTATTTAGCTGGGGTTTGGATTTCCCTCATAAGCTTAATATAGTTGTAATACCTGAGTGCCAACAGAGGCCTGAGGAAAGAAGCACAATTTGCTCTTTACCCAAAAAACAGCAAGAGGCAGTTTAAATCTCAAGCCTGTTGGTTGTTTTTAAACAGTTGTGTTGCATTAAGATGTGTTCCTTCCTGAGCACTGATGCCTTGGGGGGGTCCATTATTTCTCACTGTTACCTGCCTGCTCTTGACTTGCTGTGTATAATAAAGGTTCTTCTCTGGCTCAGTCATTGTTCCCACAGTCTTCTGCACTGTCCTAGCCAGATGAGCCTGTTTTCCACCTATTACATTCTAAAAGTTTTTCGCTTTGTTCTTCTTTTCTCTGGTTTGTACATGGCAAGCTCAGCTTTCACTTCTGAAATTTCTTTCAAACTAATCCCGTCTACACAGGTTTCAGCTACCCTTCTGCATTCTTCAGACTACTTGTGATCCGTGTTTCACCCACCTCAGAAAAGCATGCTGAGACATTACCGTGAAATAAGAGCACTGATGCCTTGGGGGGTCCATTATTTCTCACTGTTACCTGCCTGCTCTTGACTTGCTGTGTATAATAAAGGTTCTTCTCTGGCTCAGTCATTGTTCCCACAGTCTTCTGCACTGTCCTAGCCAGATGAGCCTGTTTTCCACCTATTACATTCTAAAAGTTTTTCGCTTTGTTCTTCTTTTCTCTGGTTTGTACATGGCAAGCTCAGCTTTCACTTCTGAAATTTCTTTCAAACTAATCCCGTCTACACAGGTTTCAGCTACCCTTCTGCATTCTTCAGACTACTTGTGATCCGTGTTTCACCCACCTCAGAAAAGCATGCTGAGACATTACCGTGAAATAACTCTCACTCTGAAAAAAGTTGACACACACACACACACCAAGCCACTTCAATATGGCATGTGTGCTAAACCCATATGTCCTTTTCCCATCCTTTCTTACTTTATCTGGTCATCAAGAGTAAAGAGATGCTAAAAAGCATTAATATAATGACTTCTCTTGCCAGGGTATCCTGCAGCACTTCCGTATCTGTGAATGGCTAGCCTTGAGTTTTCTCATCTTCTGCCAACTCTTCCTCCCTGAGATTGATGGTGTAATTACAGCGGGGGAAGCAGACGGGATGCAGATACATGTGCAGATGTCCATCACTCTCCCTCACATCTTAAAGAAAGCATTGTTTTGCTGTATGTTCTGGAGGGTTAGAGGTGTGTCGCAGGTATAAAAAAATATACATAGCAGTCTTACAGTAGGAAACAGTGCCATAACCACTAAAATTAGTGTACATTTCCAACCTAAGCTTTGAAGGAAAAAATGTTAATACAGACTTCTAATGAGATAGCAGAGATATACTTTATGATTCATCTTGTGCTGACCTCAGCTCTTGTTTATGCATTTGTCTCCTGTTTCAGTTGCCATGCTTTTGTTGGTTGCAATGTCTTGTCATGCAAATTTTTCAGGTCAGTCCAAAGTCGCAATATGCTCACTTTTTATTACCCAGAAGTCCAAGAACTCTGGAAGAATGGATGCTTAAATTCCAGCTAGGTAATTAGCAATTTAAAGGCTGTAACTATATAGGCTCAGAGGGTAAATTCCAAGAACCCTCATTGCTGTGTCAACTGTGCTACCTCAGAGTTAGTTACTGCTCTTTGTACCAACTTCACTACTTGAATACCACCACTAAGTTCATGAAACTGAAGGTGTGGGAATCCTTACAGTTGTTCCCAGTAAGAGGATGTCTGTGATCAGAACTCCTTAGAATTCTCCTTGACAGGGAAATATTTCATAAATACTGACTGTTATGGAAGCAATAAGGTTGAATAGGTTGTGCATCACTTCCTTAGGAAGGTTTTAAAATGCCTTACATGTTAGGGACAGTTTTTATGGTCCTGCTGGTAAGCAGTTGGTTAATTAGCTTCACAAAAGCATACCATGGACCCAGGGGTGTAGAGATGTCTTCATCTGCAGTAGAGAAAGGGATTTGGAAGCACCTGGTCTTAGGAACCCCTTGGCCTCTCTTTACTGCCCTCCCTACCACAAAGAACCCATTGTCTACTTTTTAACATCCTTGGTGTAGTTATTGAAGAGAAACTTCAGGATGGAGACACCTCTCTCACAGCCAGTGAGATATCCTCTTTGCCTTTCTGTCGCTTATGATAATTTCTTTAATACACTGGTGGATTTTATAGCTGTTGGTCCTTACAGGGCTCACATAAGCTCTGTAATGGCTGATTCTCTCAAATGTCCTCTTTGAAATTGAGTTAAATAGGACCATTAAAGGGGTTTGCTCAATCAACCTCTTCAAACAAAAAGTGCTATCCAAAACTACCCTGTTGGTCTCTAAATTTGGAACATAGACTACTTGAGGGTGCCATTTAAATTTGGAAGTTAGACACTTAGAGGTCAGTGAATGAGATTTAGGAATATGAGCCACAGCTGATATCAGATACTCTTCCCATAAGTTGTTTACTAAAACGCAGTGAAACAGAAATAAATTCTCAGAGTGCTTTATCCATTTAATGGCTGCAGCTTTTTGCACTGCAAAGGGGACAGAGTTTACATGCCCACCTTGAAGTCACAGCCTTTCCTGCCTACTCAGCCCAGCGCCCCAGATTGTGCAACCTCGCCACAGTACAGAAAGGAAGCATCTGCACCATTAGGAAATTGGCCTGGCATCATGGAATAAGAATCTTCAGTATCAGTGGTTTATTTTCTTTTCTGTAAGGCTTCTCCCTATCTTATATGTTCTAAATTTGAAGAAATTCATGCACTTTGGGGCACAAAATATAAAATTCTTACCTGTGCTAAGCTTCTCTATAGTATGCGCATAGTAGTTACTGAAGTATGTTGGAAACAGAATGAACTGGTTTCCTCATTAATTATGGCCTTGTATCCTCCTCCTTGATATACTAAGTGTCCCTTCATATAGTCTGAAGTTCACCTTTTGTTTTTTATTGTTCATTCTTTCCCTGTGCTGTGCTGGTTTCCCAGTGCGCTTCCTTTTATTCAGTAGAGTCTTCCTTCAAGCCATTGATTCTCCGGGGTAGAGAAGGTAGACCATTGTGTCAAGAACCAAAAGGGCAGGCTCTACTCCTGGCTTTCCCCCGTCTAGTCACGGAAACAGGCCAGTGACTTAGCCTGTTTGGAGTATCACTTGCCCCCATCCAAAAAACACAGATTATAATACCTTCCTTGTCAGCCTTTCAGAATGGTGGTGAAAGTTAGAAAGATAATAATGGATGGGAAACTGTAAATTCTATTTAAATGGAGAAATGACTCTGATTTCTAGCACTTTTGCTAGCATTAGAATACCATGGTATCCTCAGGGAGAACCAAGTAACAACATAAAAATTTCAGTTTGACTTAATTCTAGTATAACCAACTGCAAATGGGAGAGATTCCTTTTACTACAATAAATATTTATCTGTCATGTGAAAAGCTTGAGGTCTGAATCTTAGGCTTTTAAGCCTTACCCAGAATTGAAAATGCCTGTTGCTGTAACCAGCAGTTGTTCTTCTTGTACAAATTATTAGTAGCAGATAACATTATTGGGTGTATAGTAGGAGCTGGGAGAAAGCACTTTCTATGAATCATTGCATTGAATAGGATCTGGCTCCTGTTTTGTCCAGTGGTGATGGACATGCTCACACTCCCACACTGCACAGTCATAGGGCACGCTAATTCTTGGTCAGTTGTAGCTTCTTCCAAATCCACTTTTAGGAAGTTGTGTTAAGGATTTTAGTTTTCCTGTTTTTTTTATTTTTTATTTTTTGTTTTGTTTTTTTTAATCGAGGGATAAGAGGGCACACAGAAGAAAAATATTTTAAAAATCTATTAAGATGAAAGCAAGTGCATATGCACATTTTACTTAGTTTTTGACCTTCTCTAAATGCTCAAAAGGACATAGCTATTAGATTAACTATAGCTACAAAAGCAACCAACCAAATACTACCTCTCCATCCCAATCGGTTCAGGTTTAGTGGCCACAAACTTTTCCCTAACGCTTCTTCCTCAGCTTAGTTTTTCAATGTACTTGTTGCTCTGTTCATTTCATCTTTATTGAAATCCGAAGGGTGGTGACACATACAGTGACACATAACGGTGGACAGCCGGAAAGGAAACTGGCTTTGATAGAAAGTCAGAAGAATAGGAAGGGTACAGAGAAGAAATGTCACCCTCGCTGAGGCCCAGCTCTGGGCTTCCCTTGTTCCTGTTTAACTCATAAGACCCTTCTTTCATCCTGGGATCCTTCACAGACCTCACAGCAGGACCAAAGACTTTCATCCTTGTTAAACTAGAAACTGCTATTTGCAAGTGCATTCAATTGTAGACCATTATGGCTAGATTAATCTTGTTACATCTATAAAGTAGTTGGGTTTCCTCTATTTAAAACAAAAACCAAGCTGTCCTTGGCTAGTTTGGAAACTCAGACCTATGAGGTTGTATTGGTAGCCTTCAGTAGATGGAAGTGTATAAGGGCCATAGTCCTTCCCACCAGCCTCACCAGGTGATCCTTTACACTGAAATCAGGTCGTGGGCCGAGTACTGAGTCATGCATGTCTATCAGCAAGCAGGTACCGGAACATCATGCAGATTGTTTGTAAGATTAGAAAAGTCCCAACTCCGTACCTTTACACAGCCCAACAATGTACTACCTAAAAGGGAATCCAACAGTACACTCCTGGGATGGTCAGGTAACCCAATTCTTGGTTTTCACAGAATGAGCTAGGAATCTTAGGGCTATTGGACTTACACACTATTCATGGAAGGACTGGAATGCTCTACAATATTTGAGCCAATCCACACAGCTTTAATATAACTCATTTGACTATTGAAATTGCTTAGTCCGTGGTATTGAGCTACAAGTTACATTTTTATAGTAGTAGCCTCTTAAGTGACTAGAGTTTTCAGATGCTAACTAACAGCCCCTGGAGGGTGAATTATCTATTATTCACATGTTAACCAATCACTCCCAGGGTTTCTATTAAGACTGATTAAGATGTATCAACTTCATTTAAAGAAATTGTATCATAAGTAACACAATCGAAAGATTTCTCAGGTCATCACTCTCACACTAGGATAGGATAGAGCTAGTTACTGCTCTAAAGTCACCAGCATGCTAAATAGGATCGCAGTAGGATTTATCTTTAGTGACAACCTTTTCTTTGCGTGTGTTGCATGCATGTGTGTGGGTATGGGTGTGTAAAAGAGGGAGAAATGTTTACTTAAACTTGGCAACTCAAAAAAAGATTTGCTATTCTCCTTTACAAGAGAGCTCCATACCTGCAGGTATTTCAGTAGCTCAGACACATTTTCTTAC